TTAAAAATTTATTTAAACAAAATAAAGATAAAGGTGGATTTTTTTGGCAAATTATTTCAAAGTTCAGCACGGATATGACGTAACCACTTTAATTATAGTAATGAATACGAAAGAAGTTTTTAGTATTAAATATTCTTACAATAGTTTTAGTGTACACAATATATGTACAATTAACCAGAAGCTGAATAATGTACGACCTTTGCCATGTTTACATTTGATATGCGACTACATATTTGATTTTAGTGAAATCACCACTATTACAGTACTATTTTGTTACCGCCAATATATTTGTTATCAAAATATGTTTTTGTTTAATTGATTATCATGTATGTTTGTACGTAAATGAATATTTCAGTTTGTATGTATATAATATAATTAAACGTCCTTATATGTTGTATAAAGTATTCCTGATAAATACGCAGTCACTAATATTAGTGTATGGTATTATTACGAGGTCGCTGCTCTAGTTTAGTATCTATGTTAACAGGACGGCTCGTCGGTCTGTCAAAATTGTATTTCACTGTGCGGCCTCAATCATTATTAGAAAATTTTTTGGGTAAGGAGACAAACATATACGAAAAAAGTTTCAAGCAAATATTCGAGTTATGTTTAAAAAATATTATATGTATATATTTTTTTCTTTCATCTGGTTTACAGTCACTGTAATCTAATATAAATAATAATGGTTAATTAAAGAAAATCTCATACATTTCGGAATACGAATACTTTAAATAAATAAAGTACATTCAAGTTTTTGTACTTTAAAGAGAAAAAAACCAATGGATTGCTAGCTAATTTACAAAGAATTTTTACAAGTCTGGGATATACGTTTTAAATATTTATTTATTATATTATTGAACACTAATCTATAAGGTCAGTGTATATATTGTGTTATATAGTTTTATAGTAATCAGTACAAACACAGAAACAGCCCCTCCTTGAACTAAATTTCTATATTTTTACATAATACCCGAGCTAGTTGTAATATTTATAAGCATTGCTCATATAAACAAATACTTTACGCATTTACAAAATCTAGTAAACAATAATAAAGATTAAACAAACTCTCATTATAACAAATATTAGTATTTTAATTCATATGAATCAAAAGTTTAAGAATCATATATCGGTTATTTCACAACTTTAAACTAACACAGCTAAATGTCATACGTCAAATTGAACCACGGATTGGTATAAAAAAGTATTATGAATTCCAAGTCCGCATTGAAGTGCCAAATCCCTGACGAGTTTAGAATTTTAAACAAAACTTATTTATCGATAGCCTTTTATTTGACGTTGATTTCATTCAAAATAAAGGTAGCTTGTAATCATTATGTCTTTTTTTAGAAGCGGGCTAATGTATCTTAATGTTGCAGCTATTAAGGTCCGCGCTATGGTACGTTGAATAAATAAAAAAACAACTACAATTTTGCGGCGTCGAAAATCGGAACTCGATAGCCTTTTTCTGGCACAATAATTTAACGAACCGAATCTCTCTTTATGTTTACAATGTAACATTTAATATTTATCTGTGAATTTCTTTCGGTAATTATTATATTCTGATGAGGAAGTGGAACGTTATCAGGTTTATCAAAATATTATTACCAAAAAAAAAAATGCGCCTTAAAATTCAATTAAAGGACCTTGGTGGCGAAGACGTTTTTCATTAGCCACGTTCAGCTTTGTTTATTCTAAATTATTTAATTTATTCTCAAAGTAATTGCTTATTTACTTATTTTTTTCTCTCAATGAGATAGAATTCTATAGAATAACCGCACCAATTGAAGCTTTATCTCACAATGATGGTTATTAAAAAACGGGGGTGTAAATTAATGTGGGATCCATCAATTTCGTACAATTAATTATATAGCCCTCATCGGTATAATGCGTATATGCGTTAAACCGAGTGGAGTTAACATGTTATAAAAGCACCCTATTGATTTACATTGCACCAACACCGCGGTTTGGAAGATTTAATGTCGATTATTATTGACATCGGGAACTCGAAAAAATATTACTGCATGTATAAAAACATACACATAAAAACTTTTTATAAATAGATATATTCTTTTTCAATGTGTGCAGTAAATTTGAATGTTCGTTGCATATGTTTATGTTCGTATTGGCAACACATAAAGCATCGAAAACAACGCGACCTCTAAATTATTAGTTTTAGTTTAAAGCAAATATTATTTCGTGAAAATTGACCGTAAGAATTTTTTTCCTCAAGAACCTATTGCAAAAAAATTATAGCTAGATAAAAAAATTCAATTATTTCTTTTATATATGAAACGAAAAATATATAATTATACAAACAAAAATGAAAAATATATTATTTAGTTAAGTAACTTACTGCTGTAAAGTTTTTTCCACGACATATTAAAACACAGGCGGACAATGAGACGTTGAATGAGAGCGGCGTATAATCACAAAATAACTGCTCATATCATATCAATGATAAAAGCGAGGTTGGAGATTTTGGCAAGGTTGAAGCCTTGCAGAAATTACCGCCATTTACATAACATACACTTAATATTTGTTCATCCACTACGGATATTGAAACTACAGCCACTGAGATCATTCTTAAATTAAGGAAGTCCCAAAGACCTTGATTCACGTTATACCAAATATTTTATCCTAATGCAAACTACGCGTTAATAAGCTGTGAATTACAGTGAATTAATATACATTCGCAATTAAAATATACATACACATTTGATAAGATAAATGTCATTCTTGAACGGATTGGAGAATCTAATGAAGTGAATAAATATTTTATCAGCGGCTGTATAATAAATACATTTTTGAATATATTTTTTGTATAAATCAGTAGTCACATAACCTAAATTTAAAGGAGGTCAAGTTTTTAAAAGATAACGAATAGACTTTGTTTTCCGATCGCTATTATGTATATTTTATAGTTATATAAAGTTTATTTTACGAAACGATATTTTTTATATTGCTTATATTACATTTTTAAAATCAAATGAGTTTTCTATCGGTGAAGTTTCTATATGTTTTTTTACAAAGCCTAACATTTGTCGGAAAAGTCTTTGTGGTCAACATATATACGTTTTTTAATAACAGTCCCTGGTCTGTAATTAGCTGGGTATAGACCTCTGTTTCGGTTAGTCTGCGAAGCGTGGCCAGTATACCTATTACTTTATTATATTTTTTCAAAGATAATCACTTCAAGGACTACCGTTTTATCGCGATAAATATAAAGGTTTTTAAATAAGCTTGAGTCACATAAAGCAATAAAGTGTGAGCGATTAAATTCTTTATTAATAAATAGTTGTTAAAAATGATGAGACAGTGGGCGTCAATTAGCCCGGCAGAGCTTCCCTATGGCTAATTATACAACAATCAATCGAGTGTATACAAATAGAGCCATCATACATATGATTCTCCTGGCCGACTTTGTTAACGCTATTTATGAACAGATATAAATAGAATTTTATTTTATTATATCATTGGAAGTTCGCATGGTGATTTCGCTTAAGTACTTGTTATTAATATATATACTAGTTGATGAACGCGGTTTTGTTTGCGTTTACGTTGAATTTTAACGATGTTTTGTTTTTGATTGTATAAAATAAAACGCTTTCCCGCCTTTTCAGCTTATCTTCAGAACTAATAGAAAGATATTTTTAGCATAACTATTATGTACATAAGGATATACTTCTTAATTTTCTGTTTGTGTTTCGAAGAATTACCAAAATATAACTAAAATATACAGTACTTATGTGTAAATCTTATTAAGTACGCGGTTTTATTATTAAGAAAATAAAGATAGTGTAGTGAAAAGATATGTCTTTTAGGTATGCCTAAATATAAGTTTTTGTCATTTTCATGTTAAATTCCTTATTTAGAATATGATGTATAAAGGCTGTTTTTAATTTATAATATTTCATCGGTAAAACCGACAATAACCCGTCGGATATAAGGGTCTACAAACGTTCGGGAGGCCGGTTGGAGTGACTAAATTTAATTGCTGTCAAGATTCGTAGCCGAGCAATTAGTAAGCGGGATTATTTGGACGGGCTTAATAGCATTATTAATTCAAAGCCGTGAACTCGGTACTGATTAAGATATCAAAATGGATATGGAAACAGGCTAGCTAGGAAAATCTGATGCATGGCATTAAAATTACGTCATCTTCTATATATATAAAAATGGATTGCTGTTCCTTAGTCTCGCTAAAACTCGAGAACGACTTTCGTGGTTTTTCGAGTTCGTGGAGGTTCAGGGAAGGTATAAAATTTGAAAAAAATTGATTCATTACTGGGAAAACCATAAAAAACAGCCCTTTTCTATTTCCCATACAAACGTTTTTTTTTTTGACATTAGATTTGACAACTAACTAATATGTCATATGGTAAACTCCAGAAAATATATAAATAAAAAACGTAATAGATATTTTTTGATTATAGGGCGATACGAAGTTCGCCAGGTCTTCTAGTAACTAATAAAAATGTAAGGGCTTTACACCCGCATGTATAGGTTTAGTTCAAAAAATGTTCCCACACTTTAGTGTAAGGGTGTATGTTGGTGAATCTATCGTGATGACGTCACCCGCCCCGTACATTTGATTACCCCGGTTTCGATTGGATGAGTTCTGAATACACGATTCATTAATTATATCCCGTGTTCTGTAACGATTGTCCGGTCACTAGCGTGTATTAGAATGGTTGAAGTTTTGACATCGACGCTTTTATTTTATTTACTTACGTATTTATTATGAAATATGTAAGATTTTTTTTTGGATTAATATTCACATTAGTTCTAGTTTAAACTTTAAACATCGTCTTCTAATTTATTTTAAATTCATATTTGCGAATTAGGCATACTCATTTCATCTCGTATTTAAATTAAATTTTTGACTTTAAATTTAATTGTTTTATTTTATTATTATTTACGTAATAGTGAATATTTTATATATTTTAGTCTGTTTATTCTATATTCATGATGAAGTTTAACCCAAATGTGAGTCAACTCACCATAAGGCGATACCGGAAGCGTTGGGTCACACAAACTGCATGTCGGCTTACCTGCAACAACAAACAGACTGAATCACTATAAATATAAAGAAAAAAATATCATAACTTATAATAAAATACATCTATGGAGATATAAAATATTAAAAAAAAATCTTACTGAAAATACCTTTTAATTACAACAATACTGTCACTTACATTTCATTTTCATACAACAAAAAATTCGTATTGCTATCAATAATTAGGTTAAGTTATAAATTTAAATCGTGGATATTAATAGGACGGATAAAACACAAAGTTGTAAATTACGTTTTATAAATGAGGTGAATGGATTCCGAAAGAAATTGCGAAAAATTAAGCGAGGGCTGAATCGAATTCCGGGAACGTCTGGAAGCTCTATTCTAACAACGAAGGGCTAGAACATTCCACGGATAGCGTATAAGTGCACCCTGACTATTATAAACCTTAACACTATATAAATAAGAGCTAGCTTGAGTAACAATTCACTGCATCCTTTGTCGTACGGTTGGATGGAGTTGGTAACTAAAGTTTCTCTTGTAACTTAAAAAGCGTTTCATTCAATGACTCATTACATATAATTTACAATAAAATTTGTTAAATTCACAAACTAATATGGTATATTTGGATCTTACTCTGAGTATGAGTCATGTTATAATTAACGAATATTAATGATAACAGTAAAACCGTACGTATTTAGTTTGCGATACAAACTCGTGGTAGGTTAATTGTCATATTAAAATGTATCAAATATAGTTTTAATGTATTCAATATAGAAGTAATGCCAAGTCTGCATGGTGCTCCTTAAAGCGTATTGTTTTATAAACAATATGTATTTGCTTACAAAGGGGGACCGTCGCGCTTGATGATTGTCTTACTTAGTTTTTATTGCCGACCCTCCTCACGAGTTATTTTATTTACATAATATCTTGTTATTAAACTAAATAAACAATATTTTTCTTATATTCGACCGTTTCTATATATAAATCATATTTAATCTTCTTCTATCTGGCAATCTCCCAGCTTTAGCCAGGGTCTGCCTTACATGTTGTTAATAGTTTTGGCTAATTGTTTTTACGACCGGCCGCCTGCCTGACATCAACCCTCTTTGGGAATGCATTAATCAGTGATGTCTAAATACTCTTAGAAAGTACATATGACTCGGAAAAATCACATTGGTACTTGCCAGAACCAGGATCGAACCCGCGCCCTCGTGCTTGAGAGGCGGGCCGTCTAACCACTAGGCCACTACTGATAATCATATTTAATGTATAACAATAACAGCTGTAGTTATGTTGATATGTTATCATTTCCTGATATCGACTTCTTTTGCGTTTCATTTTATAATTTAAATAATTTCTCCAAATGTTATCTTAGATAGTGAAATTCCTGTAATTGATATACAGAACTTTAATATAATGAATATAAGATGTATATCTCTTCCGGATTAAAAATATTATTTGAATATGGATAATTAACAACATTTTGTTAAATAAAATAGACGTAGCTAGATCCTTTAATATTAGTTTATTTAAATTAAATATAAATCTCATATAAATTTCAGTGTATTTTTCTCTTATATATTATGTAAATAGAAGATCTATTTTTCATATAAAAGTACCAAATGTTCAACATTTTCATTACGATTATCTTCTAAGCCTTAGGTTACGGTATTTTAGTGAAATCTTTATTGTATTACATATTTGATTTCAACGATTTTTATATTTAGCGTAAAAAAATAAATATTAAAGTATTACATAAAAAAACAATTCATTTTGGACATTTATCATATTGGAGGAATCTTGTATATTCCGGGATATTTGTTCTATGATAATCTTATTTCACGGAGCGAAAGAACCAAGGACGTGATAAAACGTCATGCAATTTATTACAAGTAAATTAGCTTCTTTATAAAGACTTCAAGCTTTAATTTTTTATAATTTTATTAATTTATCGCGTCCTTTAAACTCCAGATTTTACCTTTATTCACCGTCAGAGAAAAATAAACTAAGTTATACTTACTTTGATCAAACGTCAATATGATTTGTCGACCATACATTCATATGTATACAATACCTTGTCACAACTTAACGGATATATAGTCGGTAAATTTAGTTAGCGTTATATTATACAAACTGGATTGCTTTAATTAAAACTAACAACAGTAGGCTTACACCTGCATACGTCGGATAAAATACCCCCGGCTGTAAAACGCTGTCAACCGACTTAGGAATAGGATGGTTCTATTGAATGCAATATTAAAATTAAAATACAATAAGTATGAGAAACGAAAATAACGTCTGAATTGATACGGTACAAAGCCATTCTATATTTCTTTCAAACCTCAACGGATTCAGATCGTATATATTGTATTTAATACTGAATGTATCTCAGTGAATGGAGATTTTTCTCGATTTAACTTTATTATTTTTTAAATTATTCTTTTATTAAAAGAGTTTTAAAATGTAAAAATAAATAAATCATAACATATTTAAATGCAACGCATGCTTTTCTGTAACTGTTCACAAATATATAGAAACTTTTTCGCTGATGGACCTCTTTCGTTTAGGGATGGGATTTTATCTGTTAGATGACGTAATAGATTGATCTCGGAACTAAACTGAGGGCATTATATCCTGTTGTTACGCCCCAAAACAATTCGCCACTACAGTTTGTTTTTAAATTATCTTTATCAATACAAAGATAATATTTATCTGGTTATGTTCTTCAAATGATTCGATTTTTTTTTAATGTCCATTGATCTGTAAATATTTGCTTATGTATTTTTTTACTATAATGGTATTTTTATATCACACAATTAATACTTTCACACGGATACCACCATAAATGCATAGCAAGATGTGGGAATATTTACCATAGATTCTATGGCATAGAACTTTTTAAGAAGAATAACTAAGGACATAAACATATTAATAATTATGTATAGTAATAAAGCGATTATGAATTCCTTAAAAAGACGTTATTGTACAAATTATAATTAATAAAGTGGTAAAGAAATCAAAGGAGATTAAAATAATGTTGTACTCAAACAAAATTTATCGAATTTTTCAAACTAAAGTGTTATTTTTATTAAATATTTTTGGTGCAAATCTATATATTAATTATAATTAAACTAAATATAGTGTGACGTCGCTATTCCAATAAATTTATTATGTCTGCCGGTTGTGTTGTAGCTACTGCAGTTGCAATGTTATATTGTATATATTAGATAATAAATCTTTACTGTTTGATATATATCTGGTATTGTAATTTATAACAAAACTATTCCCTTGATACACGGTTAATTTTGATATCATTTTAATACTAAATATTAAGAGTCATTTAATTTAGTTTATAATATTAGGATATGTATGTGTTTGTAATCGATAAAAGTTTTAATTTCGTGTTTACTTACGGGACGGCCCTCGTGAGTCATCGTATCTGGGAAACGATACAGGAAAACGGGATATTCGTTCATTTGAAACGTTTATGTATTTGAATATTAATATCAAATCGGGATAAGTTGACTAATGTTTGCATTTTTATTAGGTATAAATTTCGATTCTGTTTCTTTTCAATTTTATATTGTAATTGATAATAATTAATACTTAGACATACCGAAGATGAATTGGTTAAAATTTGATTAAGATTGAATTGTATAATGAAAATGAAACTAATATTTTTCTGATATACTACGCGTGCTTTATTATTGTAAAACACTACATGCTCAAAAAGTTTCAGCTACTTTTCAGCATCCGTGATCACGGGCAGAAATCTCGTAGTTTTTTATAAAAATAAACTACACGTAATATATATCTCAAAAATATTAGTTTCGTTTAATTGAATAAAATTCGCGTAAGTCGTAGATCTCATTATTAAATTGTATAATTTTAAGTCTATTATTATAAGTCTGATATGTGAAGCTTAATTAAATTAAGCTTAATTAAATTAATCAATGTATCTGTTCTAAGGTGTTAGGCTCACAGTGCACTAGTGTTATAACCCGGACTGCTATTGTCGGCTTTACTCTCAGGCTGTGTTAAGACCGGATTTAATCGCGGATATGACTCGTCGAGGTCGACTTTACACGTCTGGCTGTTTGTCTATCACGTTTAAGTTTAAATTTAATTAAATTACATACTAAATATGCAACCTTGAACTAATTTTAAGCAATAATAATGTAGTATGTCATAGAAACATTGATTTTGTTTCAAAGGAAATCATAATTTATTTCAGACATATTGCTATAAAACAGTTACATACATTAGTTAAATCGTGATGTCGTGACTCAGCAACGTTGTTCTGTTATATAAAAATATATTAACACTTGATAATAGGCTTATCTATAATATGACAGAGGTTTTATACATTAAACATACGCGTCCGTAACGATAATGAAACCTGTACGATAATTATGTACAGAACTGAATTACTTTATTTATTAAACATAAAAGTTTTAATGAAATATTTATAAATAGTATGTACGACGAGTCGAATATGTGAGAATGAGTCTGGTAATGAGTCTAGTAGTCGCGTTAGTAGTGTTGTATAGCAAAGTGCACGATACTCACCGACGGTGGCGTAGTTATCGTGAAGCGTATACAATGGATAGTCACCTAATTTGAACAGGTAGGCGGAGAGTAAGACCGCGTCGTGCCTCGGCTCCTGCTCCTGTGTCGGTCTCATCAGCGAGTTTATAGAAAAATCCGTCGTCCCCTGGCTACCGCACCATCCGTTAACACTGCACAACTTGCACTCCTTCATTGTAAATATTCTATATAATAGATCCGTTTTTTTTTGTACTCGGTTTGTACGTCACTGGTAAATCACATATAAAAATATCATGTGTCGCAGTCCACATCACAGTTCATATCACAGCAGTGTTTCTGTACCTGATCCGCTAAGATTCCGTCACACTTTAAGTAAAGGCACTGTTTGTGTTTACCAAATGCGGAGCGCCTGTTTAGAACACACATGGAATTAGTAATTATCAAGGGTGAAGGTTAATTAACATTTCATTCGGACGGATTGGGGTTAATTGGATTTGTTCTTATAAATTTTTATTTATATGTGCGATGCTGAGTCGTTGCGATATTTTATTGTGACATATTGACCTTTAGCGTGACATGCAACTATCAGCTCGTTCAATAACATCAAAAGGTGGCGTAGACGAAATATTAGAATGTATTAATTGAGCTGTTTGTATCCGTTTGTTTTTGAATGGGTCCTACCGAAATGCATAGTTTAGTGTAGTGTCGGCCAGCTGCAATGCGGGCTTACAGGTCAAAAGGTGCATTGGCGTCGTGCGATTTGAGTTTGGACTGAGCGATGCGTTATTGTGGCCCGCGGTGGCCACAGAAGCCGCATGAATATAGCCATTAAAAACAAATGAACAGTCCTATGACCGATATGATGTTTTCGGGGCTAGGTTGTAATGTCAGGAAGACATTAAAGGCTCTTTGATATTGATTTTACAACGGAATAGTTGTTTACATTTAGGTTTATGGCTTGATACATGTGACCTTGACGATTGTGAACAATACGGCGGTGATCTACATTAGTAATAGAGACCGAGCTGGGCTCATTCATTATAAAATATTATAAATAAATATGTATATAGGAATTGAAGGAGATGCATCTAAAAAAAATCACTAGATCCATAACTGAATTGAATATTAAAGCGATTACGACATAAATATAGATAGCAAATTAATTAATAAGTAATATAAATTCTATATTTTTGGTGGAATATATTCTAAGACTTTTACATTTCTTTTTTTGTATTATGATATAATTTTAAAACATTATTTCTTGTAAGCCGATGTGTGTTGAACGTCGCAGTTCTCGTCGACCTTGACTTGCCACATAAACAACGTCACGTGTCTAGCTGGACTAGTCTGAAGTCTGAACCGAACTAATATTTCAATAATACATCCACTATAAACTATATATAGGAGTATGTATAGATATTAAATCTCCAGGTGTAGATGAAGACACGCAAACGTTAGGGACAATCGTTTGAATCAGACGGCAATAAAGGTGGCTCATAACAAAGTCTTCCCGTAACACTTCCCGAAATTAAAAAAGGTCTTAATAATAGGCCACGTGCGAGAGTCGCAGCTGCCCTGACAGCTGGTAGCCGGGGCCCCACAGTCCTAGCTACCTGCTCCACAACTTGACTCGCTATAATACCATATTAAGAGCGAATGTCCATTGAGTGTAATATACAAGCAATCCGTTCGCTAATATCATTCCACTAATCATTAATAAGAGGAAATAGTTTACATGTATTATATATAGTATTAATAGTCAAGCATCATCGAATAACTGAGTGTCGCGAGTTCAAACAATTACCTTTTTATAAACCTCAGGCTCCATTTTTAACATTCTGGCCGTGTCCGTTAGGTAATGTTAAGATGAATGCAATTATTTGGCAGCGTCTTTTGGCAGACACCCAGTGGGAGAACAAGTGGAAAGTATAGTATGGAAGTAAATAAATAATCGCTCTCAATCGAATAAACACATAATATATATGAGGTTTTTTTTATTATAATAAATCAAGACAATAGAGTCGTTATGTTCACGTTAAAAAAATATTGTAATTAAGTTTCTTACATATGTATGTGTGTTTCAATGACAGGTGATAATGTTGGCCTTTTGTTATTTGGTTATCTTTTAATAGTTCCAACAAAAATGGAAAGCAGATGGTATCAATCGACGGGGTTGGGGCTACCCTTCGATGCAGTTGGCTATGTTTGTTGGCTGTAGCCCAATTTGTGTCCGACTAGACGGTACTTATATAGTCTAAGATTAATAAAGATTAATTTTTAAGGTTGTATACAAAAAATATATAACTATATAGTGGATGGTCGAAGTTTTTGCTATACCGTTTCGACGGAATAAAGTTTGGCAATAAAGACGAAAATCGTAAATTAAAACAATTGCATTAATCCGATTTTTAAACTGATAAGCTACGCAACTAATTTCATAAGAACCTGTTAATTGGTTTCAGACGTGTGTTTTATAAACATATATATAAAATGTTGTATGTATTTCGTTTTTCCATATTTATTTCTTAATAAAAGCGCTAAGAGAAATTTCTATGTAAATTTCGTTATCTCGATGTTATAATATTATCAAAATTGATTGCCGTATCGCGATACTTCGACAGTATGACATTGGATTATATAAAAATATCATATTATATAAATGTAAAAATTTCAAACATTTAACTCTGCGAAGAGCGAGTTAAGATTCAAATTATAAACTTAATTGGCGGTTTGACATTTGTAAGAATAGAAATAAAGCGTCCGCGGAGGCAATATTCGATTGCTTAATAATCAATGTTACATAAAGCAAAAGCTTACGTAAACACGGGCGCATACTAATAAAGAAATAAAAGTAACGCTCGTGTCAGATATATCAATTGTAACATTACATTAGACAAGGGAAAGTAGAAAGCTCGTTAAATTATTGGCAAAAGCATTAAGGTATGCATAAATAAGAAGATGAACAATGAAACCGTCGACCTACATGCGGCCGGCATAGAACACTCGACAAAAAAATATGGTTAAACTAACGGATCAACATAATCAGGCTAATTGTAACAAATCGTTTGTTATGAGGTTAAGGGGTTACCGGTTGACCGATATATGTTGGAACGTATAATACACATAATAACTTATACGTCCAATTTCCATTAATGTATGTAGCGATGGTTTGACGAATAATTCACCACCTGTGGCTTGTAGTATATACAGCTAATTGTAGCAGTGTCGGTTATAATTAGTGTGCAATAAATATGTGTTAGATGTAAATAATTGCATTGGTTTTCGTCGAGGACCGGAGGCTGTAGGGCTAGAGAAAGTACCTTTCACTCCGAGTACCGACTACATGCTTAAACAAATTAACTATTTCAGTGAAAATTTATATAAAAATGTTTTTGTCGATAATGAATTGTGCCACTACCATTGAAAAAAAAACTACTTTAGCCAAATTTAGGTTTTAACATTTATTGTTTATATTATGAAAAAAAAAAGTTATTTATATATCTGTTCAGAATTCATTAGTATTATACCAGCGGCAATCAATCGAGTTACAATAGTAATATTTATGACACTTTGTAATATTAAAATATTATTTATCATATCATACACGATCTTTCATTGTCATATTAAATAGTGGCATTTTAATTAAAATATCGTAACAATGTTAAAGCTTAAAGTTATTTAAAGGCTAACTTTATGAGGTCTCGTTTATGATAAATTAACGCAAACACAGGATTAGTTTGAGAGTTAAAAACGTTTGTGTACTTAGTAAAGTTTAGAACTGCGAACGTTCAAGGTATAGTTTCAGCACAGCATTGATGGAATGGCGGGAAATGTTATAACCGCTTTGCTCGTATTATATATAACCCATCGGCTATTGGCTACACGGTTAATATTATGACATATTTAGCTTTTAATCGAACAATTGTTATGTAGGTATTTTTTTTTAAATTTAGTTTAATCATCTCATCATTCAATAGTGACCAAACTCGATAAGTCTGTTACAAAGTGAACGATGTAACAGAATGTTGAATTTCTTTTATCTTACATCACGAGTGTCAGCTCATTATGTTATGATCTATTACAGCAGCCACTTATAATACCAAAATTAATAAGCAATACTTTCTTCTGTTACGAATATTACTTTTAATATTAAGTTATTTATAAATTTATCAAAAGTTTTGCTTCTCTGTGACTTGACTTTCGTTTAACTAGGACACTACGATGGCATTAATTGATAGCGTTGACAAGCTTAGCTTGCCAGCTCACCGGTTGGGTATTAGACTGTGTACTTTGAATTTATTACTATACATCAACTATAACATAAAACAACACTTAATCTTTAACTGTTAGCCAGACATGTCCACAAATAAGTTTAGAAAAACATTACCGTAGAGTTCCTTATAAAACTTTCCTGTGTTTGTTATCGTTTATATAATTTACACGATCATCTTTCAACAATCCCTTCATGCTGTCTAAACATATTAATTACAAAGGACTGAACATTTTGTTAGTGCGTTTTGGCGGTTTGACGACATTCGAGGGAGCTAATGTGACACCGGCGCGTCTAACCTTACATGACTTTCATTAACATGAAATCATTTGTAGATGACGCGACAGAAGCCGGCTAGCTAACTGAAGATGTAGGTTTGGTAGTTTTACCGAAATAACCGGACGGAACTCGTTTCGCACTTCGCACAATACGACAATCCATTTCTTTGCACGATCTGATCATTGCTCGCCGGCTGACACTACACAGCTATAAACGTGACATTAATTTAAATGTAGGAAGTTTACAATTTTCACTGAATCCAGATCCACTGGTTTGGCACAACACGACACTAGCGATGGATTGAGGTTATTTCGCGAACGGAAGCGGCGCGCAGATAGTGCGTCGTGTTTACAGTTGGCGCGGCTATCCGACAGAGCGATAAAACCGCCCGCCTCCGTGGTTGACAGTCGACTGGCGAGTGGCGTGAAGTGGCGTACACACGAACTAAAGAAAGCTGCGTCGTATACGAGCGGGGGTGGCGGGGCGGGAGGGGGAAACGGTCGCGGGGTGTGCGGGGCGCTGGTGCGGGGCGAGGGGGAGGGGTACACCTGCGGGAGCGACGCGAAGCTTCCCGCTGAACTACGCAATAAACGCTCGATAAAACTTTCTCATTAGGCGAGCCTAACCGTGTGACCGTAAGCTCATTTCTTGCATTTTAATGCAGCACAACATCAAAACATACATGAAGCTAATTCGCACTCTCGTTACTTTGACTCCGCGTAACTACTACCAGTTTTCAGCCGGCGTTAGTCAGCGCTTGCGCAGAATTAACTGTTTTGTTGCGTAATCATAATATAAAAGACTTTTATATAAAATACTAAGAGAGGAATTATTAATTGATCGATTTTAATATTTTTCTGTCTATTGTGACAAGTTTAATTAATTAACTATCGTAGAGAGAACCCAAAACAAAATTATTAAGGCGGTTTTGCTTAAAAGATTTAGTTCAACTTTAATAAGACTTTCTAAGTAATAATGATTACTACCAACTTTACTTAATTTTAGTAAAACAATACAGTTTTTTTTTTATATTGGGACTCCATTTAAAATATGTCTCTTTTATCGTATTCTTAATGATTGTTATCAAAAAATATTTTTGTGCAAATCATAGTTTGGTATCAATTCCATTTCGTTTCCTTGGATCGTGACATAAGTTGTTATTTCTTATGGCTTCTTTATACACAACTAAAACGTTTATTTATTTGAGTTTTTTTAAACGATAACTCGGTACGGTAAAGTAATAAGTTTAATTTTCAGCGACGAATATGAAATTATCCCCTTAAGGAGCTTCACGCTCTGGAGCCTTCTAATTAAAAGAGGCATGTGGTCCTTGAAGTGAAATAAATTACGTTGCATTACATCATTAAATAAAAAATATATATAAGGGCTTATTACAGCGTGCGTTCTAGCATACGCCGTGCTAACGAAAAAAAATTATCCAAAATGGCCAGTTAGTGGTAATTTTTATCATTAAAATTAAATAATATTAAATGATTAATATTAAACAGAACAAAAATTTTCATAAGAGTAAAATAAACAAAATAATATCATATAAATAGCAACTGACTGGTAAAGTTATGATTTACAAAAAAGTTTCAATTACAACCCACCAATTACCCAAAACCAAAGAATAAAAAAATATATCTGTTCAAGTAAATGGAGCAAAACGTTAACTATGCATCAAAATATATTTATATTGTAGAAAAAATATATAAAAAAAAAGGTTGTTACTTAAAATCTGAAATAGCTTAACGCAAATTCAACAGTGAGTATCATACAGTTCTATAGCTAAAAATATAATTAAAATTATATACTAATGATATATTTATAATGTTCATTAGTTACATAAGAGCAATCGATGCGTTCAACGAACAGTTGGCTACATCTGTTTGGTTAGCAATTATACTCCCTACTAAGAATTGAATATTGCAAATAGATTTGCCACATGAGATATAGACGACGTGGTCTAACTCGGAGAACGAAAACATATACATATTATACTAAATTTGTTTCACTTTAATACTATTCATATTCCTTAAATAACTCTGTTTTGATGTATCAATTATATTTCATCATTATAAATTGTTTATTGTCACGAAATAAACAAAATGAAAAGCTAAAAATATATCGTAATTAATGGGATCGAAGACTTTCTCGATTATTCATTTAAATGAAACTAGTAAATATAATCCGAAAAATATTAGTTTCATTTAAATATATCTTAATTAGCGTAAACACATAGTATTTTCAATTTAGTACTGATAATAAACGCTTAACAAACTTGTTATGATTTTAAAATATCGCTGAAAACGGATTTTATTTAAAAATAACACTTATAAATCATTGTTATATAAAAGTTATTTATAACTTAAAACTTTTTCTAAGAAGTGTTTATATAAGCGTGGATAATATCGTAACAAATGACAGCATATATTTTATTATAATGAAATAAATTGCTTGTTTATCCCTCTATTGAAGGCTTCCGTTCATATCGAACTTTCACCACTACTTCAAACATACCTTAAGATCGTAGGGTAACAGATAACTTGTCTATAATAATATGACGAATTTATTATAGTTAAAAATATAACTGTCCTTTAATGAGTAGAAATTAGCAATTATACAAACTAAAAATAATATATATGTATATATTACAATTAATTCATTTCTCGTTTCTCTCTCCCGTAAATCATAGTAATATCTAGCACACAAATAATTAATAAACCATACATTTGTTATAACTTATATGATAGGATCGAACAAGAAAACACATAACTATTCCAAGAAGTCGTTTTATTGATTAAAGAGTACATATTTGAAGAGTATCATATAAAAAAGTCTAATTAAATGACTTGTACGCATCAGTAATGCAGTTGTTATTGGATTGTTATTCCGTAAGTTATGAATCTCCGTATGATACTATATAATAACCGGTAGGATTGTAATGCCAATTAATTCTAAAAGCCAATAACGATCCTCAGATACCGAAGCAAACATAGCCGCAATTTAACGTACGTAAAAGTATGTGGTATGTTAAGAATGTCTCGAAGTCAATCAAAGTAGAATTACAATGTATGATTCGATAAATGGCCCGATTACCTCATATAATTGTCGTTACTAACTCCGTAAGGTAACTGATTCTGAAACGTAAAAGGTCAATGGAACTCTTCGGATTTATGTCAGTCGTACTCACTTTTTATTTATTATATGTGGCATTGGCGGGAAATTACAAGATTGCGGATTCAAACTATCTTTGTCAAAAGTTGGAGTGTTAATGAAATTAATTAATTGCTTTATGTTGATAGAAGTCTTGTAGGTCAACATTAATGTTATATTTTGTAGGAAATAAAAATAAAATATTTATAATAAAGTCGTAGTGTATGTGTAATCTAAGGTTATCTATACAGCGATAATCATTTGCTGAATAACGAATAAACAAATAAGAGAAAAAAATATTATGAATAACAAATCCAAGTTTTTTTACCGTAGACGAAACTTCCTCGTAAATAAGCAATCTATCAACAAATAAACAATGTTTATCATATTATTATATCTGCGAACATTCAATTAATACAAATTAGTCTATTTTGTTCTTGGCAAATATTTTAATTAATTTAAATTGTTATATTAATGTTTCTGAATAAAAATATTATAAATAAGTTAGTTGTAATGTTTAGTAAAAAATGAGTTTGATCAGAATATATGAATATTAATATATTATAATTATCTTTAATCAGTTAACTTTGATCCGATAAAAACAGACTTTGAGCCTGTCCGTAATGAAAAATGTAAAAATATACATGAACATTAAAAATGTTAATCGAAACTACGCCGTTATACTTTATTTTCTATTTAATGGTTTTTAAATTAAATATTGTCATTAAATAACGTGATCCTTCACAACTATATTCATGTCAGATGATAATTCAAAACATATTTCTGTTCTCATTATCATTTCCCGTTCCCTATTACGGAAACAAGCGCGTCGTTCCGAGTTAAGCCGCGCGAAACGGATTTTTTTTTCCTTTATAAGAAAAAACTTAAGTTCCAACCAGCTGCGCCTGGGCATCCTGTCTACTTACTCAACCTTTTTATCACACGCCATCCCTTACCATCAAATGTGTTCGTCTGATGAAGGAGCGAGATAAAAAAGCGGCTCCTTTCATGATATAATAACGGACGATCTTCCGCAAATCGTATCCCTTAATGTTTTGTTTTGTGTACTGTGTTCGTTTTTATTCGGGTGTAAAGTTCGCTAAGCTGTCCACTGTCGATATATTATCATTGTTGTGACATAATTGTACATCGGTCGGACCCCCGGCTGGGATGTTACATAATTTGAGAGACCGCTAATTATGAAATACTTAGTTATGGTTTATAGCTTTATGGTTTGTTAAAGCCGCAACGACAACAGAATTATATACATTTTAATCAGTATAAAAGCTTTTGTTAAATATGTTGGTATTTTCTTTAAAACTTCCACTGTCTCATTCTTTGTACATTTGTGAGATTTTATGAGTTGATTTCGGTGAAATATTAATTATAAAAACTATGTTATGGTGCTGTTTCTTGTCGGTTTTAATAGTACTAAATATAGCAGTACTTTTTTTTACTAAGCTAGGTATTTTTGGGTAGCTATTTTTAGACTTTTACTAAACTAATAACTCTTTCGATACTTATATTTTTAGGTAGGTAGTATGTATAATGTTTGTTGATGTTGTGTTAGTTACAAGTATTCTGTCATCACAGTTAAAAACAGTTGTTATACAAGACAGGTAAGCTGTAAGCTGTACTATACTCTGTTATTTAGAATATGCCTTCGAACACAAATTGTGATACTTAGTTTTGGTACGACTTTTTGTTAAAATTCTTCAGCATTATCCATACTGTAGACTAAAGTTATATTAATCACATATATAAACTTAATTTATTTCAAATATACATAAATGAAAAATATACATATGTCGATCACTATGGAGGAGTTAAAAAATATAAATCTGACTAAGTTAAAAGAAATATATAGTAAGAACAGAGTGTATAGCTATATTTAATATAAGCACATGTTTCTCTCATTGATATTTATCATGTAATACAATGATTTATCATCAATGAGATACTACGAAGTGTGAACTACGATATCACTATCACTTGCTTGACTGATAACACAGACGCGGTTAAGGTCAGCCTTATCTATATAACAATACGGTCTAAGAGCTTTCAGTTAGATACGCGGCGTTTTAAGGAGAGATAATTTCTAATTATTATATATATTGAAACATATATAGTGATTCGTGATCGGCTTTAAAAATGCGACATGACCTTTGACATGCATCCGTTATACCGAGCTACAGATAATACAGCGGTAAAATAATGTTTATAATTTTAATGAGATACTTATACAAAGTGGAATGTAACATAATACAGACAGACAAGGAAGCGTCCGCCTCGTAAATATCAAGGTTTACTGCAATGAAATATTTCAATATACAACTATACATAATTAGAACATTAATAATATATAAATAAAATTTAGATTCTCCGTTTGTCTTCAGATCATAAATAATAAGCCTAAGTAATTAAATCAGTA